GTAGTGTGTAATCAGGTATAAACACTTTATTTACAAGACAAAACATCTGTTACAGGTCATAACAGAGTTTAAATGTGAAGCTGGTCAAATAACCTTTCATGTTTCTGCCTTAGTTTTTTAAGAAGAAAAACTGCAATTTATGTTGAAAATGTTATTATTATTATAAGAGACACTACCATTTAAAAAATGTACTTAAATTAGCATTTTATTTTTTAAATTGAGTCCCACCCCTACTAATTAATTAATGAAAAGTGTTATTAATTAAACAAAATTTCAAATAAACACATTATTAAATGATTTAAATAAAACAAATATGCATCTAATTAATTATTGAACTATTTATTTAATTAATTAATTACAATTTTAATTAAGCAGTGAAACATTTAAATTATTTAATAACATATATAATTAATTAATTTTGTCCCTCATGGCCTTCCATAAAAGACAAGCCCCAGCTAGACTAATTTAAAATAACAAAGAACAAAATGTTTCTCATCACCTTCAGCTCAACCTCTTGAAGATGAAAGCCTGAAGTTCTCACAATTTTTTCCTGACCATCGAAATAAATCAGGATCTGTAATCTGATATGTAAACATATAAATGTCTGAGTATTGACTAGTATGTAACAAAACAAAACAAAAAAACCCCACCAACGTCACACCACCCAAAGAAGTTCAATATTTGAAAACACTAATACAAAAATTCACATTGTAAAAAAACAACTAGTGACAGTTTCTGAATGGTATCTAAATATATTTCACAATAATGCAAAAGCATGTAGAATACATTAAATTTTTTGTCATAAAATAAAAATGCTATTCTTATTCACTTTTCAATTGTCTTGTTAATAGTAAACACATCAGAAACAAATATCAAACAGAAGAGATACAAACTAGAGGAATATATACAAAAGAAGAGAAAGGCACACAATGGAGAGCAAAGTGCTTGGAAGCAGTGGAAAAGGACTTTGTCTAATAATGAGTCAGCTGAAGAGGAAATGGGTTTGCGCTCATCTAGAAGATCTTCGTGGTTAGGGGAGTTGGCTGGCCCATCCTTAACACGGTTCTGTTTTTTCCATCCCATTGTAGAAAAGTGCTTGTTCATATGGGGCTGTTTGATTGTGGGGGTGATTTCTCAGATGCTGAGCAGTCCATGAATTAACCTGAGGTCAAAGACATTTGTGCAGCTGCTAATGATCTTTCCAAAGACGCCACTGCTACCTTTTTATAGGGACACTGTTAACCTGCCTCAAGAATATATATAAAACACTTTGGCTAATAACAGTTCTCTCCTAAATGTAACAGTTTTTAGTAGCTTCTTAGCTTTGTTGTTAGTTGTCAGAATACTTTTACTGTAAACTAAATGTTAGTTTTGCAGTTTGACCCAGGGATGTAAAACTCAATTTACATCGTGAGCCACTTACAAGCTACTTTGATCCTAAGTGGGCCAGCCAGTGAATTTACATGATAAATGTTTAAAATTACACAAAAAGTAATTCATTATCCAGACTATCCCATATTTCTAAAGATCTAAAAGATACTTTCTCCTGTGAATTTATATAGTAGAGAAATTTCTGTCATTTAATTGTTTATCTATTAATTACTTTGCTGTAGTATAAATGAGGCGGGCTCTTTATTAATAGGAAAAGCTTTAAACTTATGAAAATACAGTTAGAAGTTCAAAATCTATGCACTCCTTCACATTTTCCTGAGCCATCCAGAGGGTCGGAATGGAGTCTTTGACGGGCCGTGTTAAATCTCCCAATTCTTTTATCTTTGGGCTGAAGGAAGAACAGCACTCGGTGTATAAATGCTCAATCAACAATCTCTTCATTCCATACAATTCTCATTATTCCATACAACACTTTGAGCATAAACATCCAGACGGGAGATGTGGACAGGAGGGTGTCCGCCAGATCTGGAAGTGTCTGACTGTTTCTCACATTCTTATAGCTTCAGCCCCCCTCCATAGTCATAAAACCTAAACATCCACATTCTTTCTCTCTTACGGCGCCTAAGTGACGGCTTTGGCTTCCTGTTTTATCTCTGTCTGATGAGATGGGGCAGAAAACCTCTACAGTATGTTCTGTTCTCTTTGTAATCAGAAAAGGAAGGCCATGATTCTACACAAGCAGCATTTCTTATAACTCAGCAGTATAATGCATCATAAAACAGTGTAATGATTTCATAATTTTTAATCCAAGGCATAATGTGGCCTATAGCCGTATAATGATTCAACAATTATTTGATTTGAAGGATAAGGTGGCATAAGATAGTATGATAATCTCACAGCCGTTTCTTGCCTCTGGCCTGATTTTTGACACCCCTGGTCTAGAGCTGTCATTGTTTTAGGATACATAATGGTGGACATGCTAACAACACTTTAAATAAGCCTTGTCTAAAAATAAAACAAACCAAGGCTAGAAACATTTTATTTTGACTACAAGTTACATGCTTTATTTAATGCCTGAGGAAGATAACACTAATAATCAGTAACATTTTATTCAACAATAAAAATGCACTAATACAAAAATTATTCAGCAATGAATTTGATCTTATTTTGCCCCTCTCACACCCCTGTAGCAGCCCTGAAAAGCTCAAAAATAGCTTTAATTTCACAGCTGATCTTAAGACCTGCTGGTGTCCAGGTGGAGGTCAGCAGCCCAGTCAATCTCAGAAGCCTTTTGACTCGCAAGCTGTTGATAACTTGATTTGCAGGATAAAGAAGCTATTTTGACATGGAGTCAGCAGCTGACCCCCCCTGCTGTTTTTGCTGGCCAGCAGTCTCTGGGCAGTCTACTGTATAACCACACCATCCTTTTACTGTAAAACTGAGACCCCTTGTAAGCATCAAATATGGAATTTGAATGTAAAATTATGGTACATGGGGGCAAGTTGAGAAACTACTAATTGCTCTCAAACACAATTAAAGTTGCCATAAAGGCAGTAAATTAAAAAACAGTTCAAGTTGTTGTATATGTTTTACTGACTGCTCTTGTGACTAATGGAGTTTTCTATTACTCCAGATTACTACACTGTGGCAGAATTGTAGATTAACGCTGTAATCTTAATTCATAAAGTCTGAC